TAACTCTTTCGCCATCCAGCGTCAGAAAATCCATTGTAAAAGGACCAGAAATGGAAAAATGTTAACCTAAGCCAAGGACCATGCCATCCATTTTGCATAGGGATTTAAGATCCAATGACAAATGCTAAATAAAAGCCACAAAGTTATTGAGAGAAGACGTATGCCTTGCCCCTAGAACTGTGAGAGAAATGAAGAACAGGGGGTTGGAAAAGAAAAGGCAAATTGGAAGATTATCTGTCTCATTAGATGGTAGTGACTCTTACTTGTAAGCAACTAGTAAAAATGAGATACACGGGGAAAGATTAGATTAGGGCAATTGGAAGGTCCTATACAGCAGGTTAAAATAATTAGAATCCATTGAAATAATGAATCAATCCTCTAGAATGATGATTATATTAGTTTTCTATTGCTGTATAACGATTTGCCACTAACTTAGTAGCAAATAGCACCACCCACTTCTTATCTCAGTTTTGTAAGATAAACATTGAGCACAGAGCAACTGGGTTCTCCGCTTGGAGGTCACATACACTGAAGTCGAAATGGTGGCTGGGCTGGGTGCTTATCTGGACAGTCTGGGAAAGAGTATAATTCCAAGCTCATTTAAAGTGTTGTTAAAATTCAAGTCCTTGCAGCTGTAGGACTGAATATCATTTTCTTGTTGACTGTTATCTGGGGTTTACTCCCTGCTTCTAGAAGCCACCTACCTTCCTTCTCACATAACCCCCTCCAACTTCAAGGGCAGCAACAGAGCACTGAGTCCTTCTTATGCATCAAAGCTCTCAGACATCTTATTCCGCCATTAGCCTAAGAAAAAGTTCTTTTTCAAAGGGTTTATATAATGAGATTAGGCCCAGTGGGAAAATCTTCCTGTTTTGGGTCAACTGATTAGTTACCTTATACATCTGCAAAATTTCTCTTGCCATGTAAAGAAACAATCAGAGGAGTAACACTAGCAGCCTACAGTCATGGAGGCCATCTAGAATTCTGTTTACCACGAAGATCCTGGCTGCTGTGTAAGATAGTAAAGAAAGTTTACAAATGCATGAAGACCACTCAGGAGCTATTTTAGTGATTGAAGCTGAGGTGTTAAAGGTCTAGTTAGTTAATAATAGCAACTTGCTGTGCACAAGACCCTGTTTGTGTTTTCAACTCATAGAATCTTCACAAAGTCCTTATGAATAGCAGTAATACCTGTATCATAAGGAGACAACTGAAGAAATTAAAGTTAAGAAATGTCCTCAATTTCACACAGATGGTAGTTTGTAGATCTGGAGTTTAGATCCAGACAGACTGCAGAGCCCAAACTCTCAACCATAATCCCATCTATTATATTTTCCCTTAGTTGAAAGGCTGGGGACACATGGCCAGGGTGAAGACAATAGGACAATTGGCCCCTTTGTTCTGTTTGAATCATCTTCATGCTCTACATTTCCATTTTGATTTACTTTGTATATTGAACATAGACTACAGATAAAGTATTTTGCTGGATACTTTTAATGAGATATACCCCCACTCATTCAATTCTCACAACACTATAATTTTCCCAGTATTAGAAATGAGAAAATGGAGGCCTCAGGCTCAGAGCTACAAGTAGCAGATGTGGACTTTGAGCTGTAGTTTGCTCGACTTGGAAGTACTTTTATTACACTATGTGATTGATGTTAGACTTGGCATGTGCAAAGCTCTGAGAAGCAGAAACATGTAGTAGCTACACATACAGAAGCTGGTGCTTTACTGCCTATATTTGAAGCCCTTCTCTTTGGCCTCCATTTCCTAATTTGTAAAAGGGGAATATTTCCTGCTTTATAGAGACTCTAGCAAAAATTAATGAATTATTATAGAAAGACTCTTACAACAGTGCCTGGTGTGTAGTAAAAATTCAAAAACTGTGAGTTATGAGAAAGGTCTGGAAGAAATATGTGGTATAGACACCTATAAATTAGTTTTACCTGTTCTTTATATTATTTGCATCATCAAAAGTTGATGATACCAGAGAATAGGGATTAGTTAAATTATATAGAATAACAATGTTGCTCAGTGGGACTAGCTAATTAGTCTAGTGTTGAGGAGAAACTGAATTTTGTTGGATTTTGAAAACCTGGAGGGCATATGAAAGTAGCAGAAAGTAAAGTGAAAGCTCTGTATGTAGGTCATTTGTGAAAGAAATGAAAGAAGAATAATAGACTGCTTGGGACAAATTAGGCAGATTTTCCTATTTGGGAAAATAGGGAAAAAATACTATAGTGAATAGTATATCATAATGAAGGTCAGATTGTGAATTCAGGTCAGAAAGTTGGAGCAATAAATACCTTGAAAACAACTTACATCTTTGTATTAATTTATTCATTCACTGATAAACATTCATAGAAGACCTCCAAAGTGCAAGGGGTTATCAAAAACACTAGGTGAATCATAAATCTCTTACTTTCAGAGTTGATAAACTAATAAAGGGATTAAGATGGGCACACCCTTACAATTTATAGTAAAAACTTGTGTCAGTCACAATGAGACATAGGTGAAGCTATAATAACATTCAGAGGAGGGAGAGATTGCTTCAAACTGAGAGAAATTGGGAAGTATTTGTAGACATGATAGCAAACTGAAAGGAGAGGAATTGAAAAGATGTTTAAAATAGGAATTACAGGATGGAAGGGGTTATGCCTTGGACATCCAGATGTGAGAGTAAACCTGGATTTGATTAAAGAAACAAAGTGGAGTTTATAAAAAGGCATGTAGGAGAAAGATGTTTGGGAATAAAATGAACAGAAATTGACAACTAAAGGGGTTTTGGCATAAGAAAGAAAGAGAAGTAAAAATTGATGAGGGGTTTGATTTCAATGACTAGAGAGTTGTTAGAATTGGCAGAAACAGGTTCTGGCCAAGATGGAGGTGTAGGTAGATATGTTTCACTTTCTCACACAATCAAGAGAAGAATAACAACCAATTTAAAAACAAAAACAACCAGAACTGCCAGAAAATCAAACTATATAGAAGTCCAACAACCAAGGAGTGAAAGAAAAAACATTCATCCAGACTGGTAGGTGGAGATGGGAAACCAGGGTGGAGAGGATGGTGGCAAGGCAGTGGCTGGAAGACTGGGCAGGAATGAAGGTGGCTGGTGGACCAGGAGGTGCCACATTCACTTGCAGATAAGCCAGGATGAGCGACTGGGGAATGAGACAGACCACACAACCTGAGGTTCCAGTGTAGGAAAGTAAAGTCTCAAAACCTCTGCCTCTAAAAATCTGTGGGGGTTGTGGTGGGAGAAACTTCTAGTCTCACAGAAGAATCTGTTGGAGGGGGCCCACGGGATCCTAGAATGTACACAAGCCCACCCACCCAGGAATCAGCACCAGGGCAGCACCTGAAAATGTAAAATCCCCTTGTGGGAAGCTGAGGAAGTGACTGAAACCAGGACGAGAGCCTAGCAAGTGGCATTGTTCCCTCTCTGACCCCTCCCCCACACATAGCACCACCCTGCAGCAAAGTGGGTTGCCCCACCCTGGTGAACACCTAAAGTTACACCCTTTAGAATTCTAAAGGGCAGAGCTTTAGGCATTTACCATGTTCAGATCAATCAACACGATATACTGCATTAACAACATCAAGGGTAGAAAAATTATAGTATCATATCAACAGACACAGAAAAGCATTTGAAAAGAAACAACATTCATTTATCATTAAAACACTCAATAAAATGGGTATTGAAGGAAAGTACTTAACATAATAAAGGCCATATATGACAAACCCTCACCTAATATAATATTTAATGCTAAAAAACAAAGGCTTTTTCTTTAAGATTTGGAACAGGATGTCTACTCTCATCATTATGATTCAACATTCTATTGAAACTCTTAGCCAGAGCTATCAAGCAAGAAAAGGAAATGTATCTAGATTTGGGAATAAAGAAGTAAAATTGACACTTCTTGCAAATGACATGATTCTATACATAGAAAATCCTGAAGACTCTACCAAATGACTATTAGAGTAACAAACTCTGGCTGGGTAGCTGTTGGTTAGAGTATTGTCCTGATACACCAAGGCTGTGGGTTTGATCTCTGGTTAGGGCACATACAAGAAGCAACCAATGAATGTATAAATAAGTGAACAACAAGTTAATGTTTTTTCTTCTGTCTTTCTCCTCTTCATTTCTCTTTCTCTAAAAGCACTAACTATATAATATTTTAGATTATAGTTTATTGTTTATGCAAATGCAGACGTCCCAATTTTTTCCCCTTTGCCCCCCTCCGTATAGCTCCACCAACACCCTCAGGCAATCCCCATAAGCTAGTCCATGTCCTTGGGTCAAGCATATACGTTCTTTGGCTGCTCTATTTCCTGTGCTGCACTTCACATCCCCGTGACTCTATAACTACCAATTTGTACTCCTCAATCCCTTCAATTTTTTTGCCCATTTCCCAAACTCCTCTCCCATGTGGCAACCATGAAATGTTCTCTGTATCAATGTTTCTGTTTCTGATCTAATTGTTTCTTTACTTGACTTCAGATTCAATTGTTTATAGATATGTATTTATTACCATTTTATTATTCATAATTTTTTTCTTCATCATCTTAAAGAAGACACTTTTAACATTGTTACCAAACATCAAGTGGGGTCCTGCTTCCCACCATCACCCTCTGGGCAAAATTCTAGAGGCAAAGTTTTGGTGATAAAGGAAAGGAGTCTTTACTCAAAAGTTACACAATTTTGAATAACAGCTGTACACATGTATTAGTCACTTAAGACTATCGATTAAGGTTGAATTCTTTAACTCTTTAGTTACAGCTTTAATCACTTAAACCTATCAATTAGGGCTAAATTATTTAACACCTGAGTTCCTCTATCATTACTCCTGTTAGTTTTTAATTATTTTATTTTTATAAGATTAGTTTTCAAACTAAAACAACATAAGATACAAAAGTTGCACAATTTTGGAGGAATGGCAGACCTCTTCCTCAAAGCCCATCCGCTCTATAACACCCAAAAAAGAATAACCTTAATAGTTATCTGGAGGGGAGATACCATGTTCACGAAGGTGGTTTTCCCAGGGTGAGGCTCACCCATTGCACTCTAGGTGTGCTGCCTCCTGCAATTTCCCCAAGTGTGGGAAACTCAACTGCATAATTTGTGGTAATGGGGGACTGCATCTGCACTCTCCCCTGGTTAAATAAACAAACAAACAAATAAATAAATAACCTTGCCACCTTCTGCCAGTAAAGCCTGATCCTAGGCTATGCCTGGAGTTGCTTCTCCCACTTAAAATACTGTTTCTTGAGAAATTCAGGCAGTTGCAGCACTATCATCCAGGCATCCTCAAGGAAGAGAGCCAGTCTCTGCCCACCTTTTGTTTTCAATCTTCTGTCCCATAATTCCATGTACTTTGGAGAGGCTCAGCTTCTCAGCCCATCTCCTCCCAGACTGTTTACCATTGCCTCAGGCAACCTGCTCTTACAACCTCTCTCTACTCTTCCCTAGTGATCTGATTAGATCCCTCTGTAATAACATTTCGTATAATAGTATTTTGGTGGTGATGAATGACTTTAGCTTTTTATTGTCTCAGAAGTTCTTTATCTCCCCTTCAATTCTAAATGATAGCTGTGCTGGGTAGAATAACCTTGATTGTAGGTCCTTGTTTTTCATCACTTTGAATATTTCTTTTCAGTCCCTTATAACCTGCAATGCATCTTTTGATAAACTAGCTAGGAGTCTTATGGGAGTTTCCTTGTAGGTAACTGACTACTTTTCTCTTGCTCCTTTCAAGATTCTCTCTTTGTATATTGCTTTCCACACCTTTGTGATTCCATGAGGCCCTTTCCTACCAAACATTCAGGGCCCACCCAAGCTGTTTCCATACAAATAGCTTATCTTGGCCCATGCTTCAAATTTTTCTAAATTCTCTCAAACAAGAAACATCTCACTTCAGTGAGCTCCATATTTGACCCTAAATTGCTCCATATGCAGCACTAGCAGCAGCCAGCCTTGGTTTACAGTTTGCCCTTGTTGGGACACCTCCAAGCCCAGCACGACCAGCAGACATCTGCAGATCACTTTGTAGTTTGTGTTGTGTGACACTGGGCAGAACAAAGGTAATGGCTGACCTTGGATGTACCAACAATAATCAAGTCTCAACTTCAAAAGGAAGGTATACACATCCCACATGCTTGGTACACCTTGAGTACCTAGCTTGGGAAAAAACGATGCTGTACTGCTGGACCCTGCAGGATACCTACTACATAGAACCATTCTACCAATACTGGCAGATGTAACAACTCTATCCAATACATAGAAACAAACATGGAGTGACTGCCAAAATGAGGAGACAAAGAAACATTGCCCAAATGAAAGAACAGAAAAAGACTTCAGAAAAAAAAAACTTTAAAAAAATGGAGAAAATCAATCTATAAGCTGCAATGTTAAAAACACGGAGAATAAGGATGTTCAATGAACTAAGAGAGAATTTTAACAGCATAAAAAAAGGACCAGTCAAAAACTAAAGGATGCACATTAAGGATGCACTAACTAAAGTAAAAAAAATTACAGGAAATCAACAGTAGAGTGGACAAAGCCAAGAATCAAAGCAGCATTTTGGAATATTAGAAAGTAAAAAACAACCAGTCAAAATAGCAAGAAGAAAAATGACTCCAAAACAATGATAGTTTAAGGAGCCACTGGGACAACTTCAAGCATACTAACATTCACATCATGGGTTTACCAGAAGGAGAAGAGAGAGAGCAAGAAATTGGAAACCTGTCTTAAAAAAATAATGACAGAAAACTTCCTTAACTTGATGACTGTAATAAACATACAAGTCCAGGAAGCATAGAGTCCCAGACGAGGAGACCCATACCAAGACATATTATAATTAAAATGCCAATAAAAAATAATTTTTTGCTGAGATCCATCATGGCAGAGGAGTCAGTGGAAGCTACACTAATCCTCTTTTATGACCAATATTGAATTACAACTAAATTGTAGAGAAATCATACAGAATAACCAACTGAACACTTGCTGGAGAGAAGCCTTATAACCACGGACAGATGGAAGAAATCGCTTCATCACAACATGACTGCTAGGGAATGTGGAGAGGCATGGGAGGGCTGGCTGGGTTACCACTGGCAGCAGTTGAAGTGTTGGAAGGACATTTTAGGTGCCAGGGGTTCCCCTGGGAAGTGTGAGGTTCAAACCTGAAGCTGAGCTCCCCAGCCCAGCACCACGGCTAGAAAGAAACCCAGATAACAACCAGCTGTGAAAAGGAGCAGGGTTTCTATCTGCCATGGAAAGATAGTTGGAGATACAGAGAGCCTCTTAAAGGGTGAACACATAAAATTTCTGATTACAGGCACTTAACCAGGGCTCCAGAAGAGGGAAGTCAGAGTAGACTAAAGATGGTTGAGGAGAGTCTGGGGCTAGTGGCTCTGCAGAGAAAACTGAAGGAACAGATACTAGCATCCCTATGCTGAGTCACTATTGTGCAGAAGCCATCTTTCTCTGGAAAAGCATGCCTCTCCAAGGTCATCAGCCTGAAGGGAATCAATAGTCCTGTCCACAGGAATTATACTGCCCCATTCTGCAGAAGTTAAGCTGGAATTCTTATCACAAATTGATTAAAATAACAACCAATCGGTTTAAAGTCTCATTAGTTTAAGTTCTAAGGCAGAAAACACAAAGAAGCAGCCAAAATGGGAAGACAAAAAAAAAAAAACATACCTCAAATGAAAGAACAAAAGAATTCTCTAGAAGAACAAGATGAAATAGAGGCAAACAATGTATCACATAGTTTAGAGTAATGATTATAAGGATACTCAACAGCATGAAAAAAAACATAGAAGCCATATAAAAGAACCAGTTAGAAATAAAGAGTGCAATATCTGAGATAAATAATATATGGGAAGAAATAAACAGTAGGTTAGATGAAGCAGAGGATAGAATCAGTGTTTTGTAAGACAAGGTAGAAAGAAACACCCAGGCAGAGCACCAAAAAAAGAGAAAAAAAATTAAAAATCAAGAGAGCTTAAGAAACATTTTGGCCAACATGAAATGTAACAAAATCCACATCATGAGAATACCAGAAGGAGAAGAGAGTGAGCCTGAGATTGAGAACCTATTTGAATTAATAAAAACCCAAAACTCCCCTAATTATGTGAAGGGAAAAATCACACAAGCCCAGGAAGCTCAGAGAGTCCCAACAAGTTTGACACAAAGTGTTGCCAACACCAAAGTGTTGGTGTTGCCACACCAACACACATCATAATCAAATTGGGAAGACTTAAAGACAAGGAGAGAATCTTAAAGGCCACAAGAGAAAAGCAGGTAGTTACCCATAAGGGAGGACCAATTAGACTGGCATCTGATTTTTCAACAAAAACATTTAGGCCAGAAGAGAGTGGTGAGAAATATTTAAGGTGATGAAAAGCAAGAACCTACAATCAAGGTTACTTTACCCAGCAAGGCTATCATTTAAAAGCAAAGGAGAAATAAGGAGCTTCACAGATAAGAAAAAACTAAAGGAGTTTGGTAACAGCAAACTACTACTTCAACAACTGTTAAAGGGCTTGTTTTAAGAAGAAGAAGAAGAAGAAGAAGAAGAAGAAGAAGAAGAAGAAGAAGAAGAAGAAAAAAAAAGAGAAAGGAAAAAAACAGAAGAAAACCATCTAATAGTAAAATGGCACTACGTAAGTATCTGTCAACAATCACATTAAATGTAAATGGATTAAATGCTCTAACCAAAAATCATAGGGTAGCTGAATGTATAAGAAAATAAGACCCATATATACTGCCTCTAAGAGATTCATCTCAGATCAAAAGATACACACAGACTAAACGTAAAAGAGTTAGAAACAGATTTCATGCAAAAAAAAAAAAGAGAGAAAAACCGGAGGTAGCAGTACTTATATCAGACAAAATAGACCTTAAAAACTGAGGCTATAGTAAGAGACAAAGACTGATACTACATAATGATAAAGGGAACAATCCAACAAGTGGACATAATCCCAGTAAACACGCATACATCCAACACAGGAGCACCTAAATATGTAAAGCAAATCTTAATGTACATAAGAGGAGAGTTCTACAGAAATACAGTAATAACTGGGGATTTTAACACCCCATTGACTTCAATGAATAGATCTAGACAGAAATTCCACAAGAAGACAGAAGACTTAAACAATACACCAGATTAAATGGATTTAATTAATATCTGCTGATTTCACCCCCAAAGCAGCAGACTATACATACTTTTCCAGTGCACATGGGACATTTTCTAGGATAGACTACCTGTTGGGACTCAAAACAGGTCTCAATAAGAGACCTGCTTCTCAATTTAAGAAGATACAAATTATGTCAAACATCTTCTCTGACCACAATGCCATGAAACTAGAAATCAATCACAAGAAGAACACTGAAAACCACGCAAAGACATGGAAGCTAAATAATATATTATTAGACAATGAATGGGTCAACAGCAAGATCAAGAAAGAAATCAAAAGATATATTGAAACAAATAAGAATGAGAATACATCAGTCCAAAATCAGTGGGAAACTTGGAAAGCAATCTTAAGGGAAAATTCACAGCATTATAGGCCTATCTAAAACACACACACACACACACACACACAAAAACAAACAAAGCAAAATAAGAAAAAGCTTAAATAAATAATCTATGTTCACACTTAAAGCAACTTAAAAAAGAACAACAAACAAAACCCAAAAGTGAGTAGAAAGAAGGAAATAATAAAGATCACAGCGTAAATAAATGAAATGAAGTCTAAAGAAATGATACAAAAGATCAATGAATCTAAGAGCTGGTTCTTTGAAAATATAAACAAGAGTGACAAACCTTTAACCAGACTCATTGAGGAAAAAAGAGAAATGTCCCAAATCAAAAAATCAGAAATGAAAGAGTGGAAATAACAACTGACACCAAAGGATTATAAAAAATTACTGTGAACAACTATATGTTAACAAACTGGAAAACCTGGACGAAAGGGATAAATTCCTGGAAACATATAATCTTCCAAAACTAAATCAGGAAGAATCAGAGAATCTGAATAGAGTGATTATACTTAATAAAATTGAAGCAATAATCAAAAACTCCCAACAAATGTCCTGGACTGGATGGCTTCATGGATGACTTTTAAAAAACATCCAGAGAAAAACTAACA